CACCTTCTATACCTTTAACTTCAACAAATATTCCATTCATATCAACTTCAACTTCAACAAATATTTTACTGATGAGTTTGTCATCATCAGCTAATTAAGTTAAATAATCATTTGTTAAGTTGAATAACTCATCCCTTTTTAATTTTGAAAGCCTACCTGAGAAAACAATATCTAGTGATTCTCAAGTTCAACAAGTTCTCTATTACTTTAACCATTTAGTTAAGGCTATAGAAAAAAGACAAACTTAATCTTCCAAGAAAACTTTTCTTGTTCAAATTCCTGTTTTTAAAAAAGGAGAACAGGATTCTATATATTGGCTAAATGAATTTGTAACTGCATATTCTGTTAATAATATCTAGGAGCCCCAAATATTAATTATTATTCTTGCTTATATAAAAAGATCAGCATAGTTCTGGTGAAGGACTGTTGCTAATAAAGTTTAGTTTTGGAGAAATAATTTAAAGCAGCTCAATCTTTTGTTCATTTATTTCAACTTCAATTTTGCACTATCTATCAAAAATCTCGATAGCTTGTTGATCTCTGATCTCGAGTTCAACAACCTGGTGAAACTGTTAAGAATTATTATGCTGAATTAGAATATTTATATCGAAAAATTAATCCAAATAATTGATATCTATTAGAGGATAAACTATGGCAATTTATTGATAGACTAAGGAGTGAAATTCAAGAATCAATTGAAATTTCTTGTTCTACTACTATAGTCCAGATCTTAATTCATGCCAAAGCTGCTGAAGCTGCTTTTTTTTGAAGAATGCCTCTTGGTTCTTATTCTTTAAATAGGGAATATCTTAACCATTATTCTCTTTCTTTCTATCATCCGGGTAATACTATTTCTGTTAATAATTAGTCTAATAATGAAGTTTCTCAAGCTATTCAGGCTATCTTGAACTATTTTAAATAGCAACCCCAGCCAAAATCAAATACTTCTCGAAATAATAATAATAATAACTATCATAACAACAATAATAATAATCATAATAACAATAACAATAACCAAAATAATAGTTCTTCTTAATGAAATACTATTGTTTGTCAAATTTGTAATAAATGGAGCCATAGTGCATATAATTGCTATCAAAGGAATAACAATAATAATTCTGGCAATAATAATCAAAGGAAAGAAAACTTTTAATATAATAATAACCAAACCAACAATAATAATTATCAACTACCAAGGAATAACTCTCAACCACAATCATCTTCAAATAAACAAAAACCTCAATCTACATATTATATACTTTTTGCTAAAGAGTTACAAAACTTTGTTCAAAACTCAGCACAGTCTTTAAACTTCTAAAAGCATACTATAAGGGCAGTAGTGCCTATCAATCAATCGCTTCTTCTAAATCTACTTCTTTATTAAATAATTATAATAATAATCAATCATCTATCTTAAAGGACAATAATTCTAATTTTATTAATAATTAAAATCAGTTTAAATTAGCACTCTCACTGATTTCTACTAATGAACAACCAAAATTTAAAGAAGCTGTAGATATAGTTTATTATAATACCAGTGTTGATAAAACTCTATTCTATTTAATTCTGGATACAGATTACTTACAAGTGTAATATCAAAAGCTTTTGCTAACAAATAAAATTAATTTATTGAAAAAACTATCTAATCTTTATTTTTCTGATATTAATAATAGAAAAAATGATCACTAGGAATTATTAATAATATACCTCTTCAATTATCTGATATTACTATCCCTATTAATGTGAAAGTAAATAATACTCAAGGTTATGCTATAATTGCTAGAGTCAATTGGCTTAACAAAATGCAAAGTATCATCAATTTGAAAAAAGGGACAATTTAAATTTACTTGAAAAAACAAATCTTATATTTTACTTATTATATGTTGGAAAAAGCTACAATATAATAATAGTGAGCCTATTCCTTTAAAAATTTTTCCTGAGTCTAATGACTCAAATAATCAAACTTTAGTTATTGAAACTAATGAATATAATGAAAATAAATATAAATCATCTGATAATAAACTAGAGAAATCTAAAGGATTTTTAGTTATAGGAAATTCTGATGAAAAACCTATACTTGAAATTAATGATACCTAAGTTAAATACCAAAATAAATCTTTTAATAACTATAACTTTTATTCTGAGCAAGCCAGTGATCCTTAAACTATTAAATATTATTGTACTTAGCTACAAAAAACATGTCCAAAATATATACAAGTAAGAAAAGCAATAAATTGTTTTATTACTAAAAAGAACTTTGAGAAAACAAATTTGTCTTCTAAAAATAATTTACAATTACAACAATTTTTAACTAAAAATGACTATATGTTCTCTAAGAGAATGAATGATCTAGGCAAAACAACTATAGACCAACATCAGATTATTACTAAAAATATTCTATCTATTTATCAAAAAGCCTATCATATATTACTAGCTAAATATAAATTTATTCAACAGGAACTCTCTTTGATGCTTGAAAATAGGCTTATATCTCTATCAAAAAGCTCATGAGCCTCTTCTGTTGTTTTAGTAAAAAAGAAAAATAGTAAATTAAGGCTTTGTATTAATTACAGGAAGCTTAACAAAATTACCAAATGAGATATTTATCCTCTATATGAATTGATGAAATTCTGGATACTTATAAAGGTGCTAAATAGTTCACTACTCTCGATTTGGCTAGTGGACATTGGCAAATTGAAATGAAGCCTAATAAAAATTATATGTATATGACTTTGTCATTAGACTGCATATCTCAAATTCTCTTTATCACCCCAACTTTGAGAATCATAAAAAAACCGCCTTTATTATCAAATATAGGTTGTTTGAATTTAATATTATGTCTTTTGGTTTAACAAATGCACCTGCTACTTTTCAATAAGTTATAGATAAAATCTTTTTGATCTTAAAAATAAATTTATTTTAGTATATCTTGATGATATTACTATTTATTCAAAAACTTTTGAAAAGCATTTGGAGCATCTTAAGGAAGTTTTTAAACATCTTCAAACTGCTAAACTAAAATTAGAAAAGGATAAATGTTGTTTTGGCAAACAACAATTAGCTTTTTTAAAACATATTATTAGTGGAAATGGTGTAGCTTCTGATTCATTGAAAATTGATAAAGTTCAAAACTATCCTGTATCCCATAATCTTACTGAACTTTGTGGATTTATTAATCTAGCTTCTTATTACCGAAAGTTTATTTTAAACTTTTCATGAATTGTTGAACCTTTAAACAAGTTGTTAAAAAAGGATACTCCTTTTGTTTAGACTGAAACTTGTCAACAAGCAATAGATATTCTTAAAAAAAATTGACAACTATATCTATTCTTTAATATTCTGATTTTACAAAACCTTTATTCTTTATACTGATGTTTCATATTAAAGTTTAGATGCTATTCTTGCTTAAAAGGATGATGACAACTATGAGCATGTAATTGCTTATGCTAGCAGGTTTCTAAATTTAGCTAAAAT